CACTTTGACATTTCAAGGGTAATAGCGCTTCAGATGCTCCGCGTTCCATGGATGCGCGAGAACGTTTCCTTTCAGATCGGCCAGTATGTACGCCCCACAGGTCGGACTACTCTCTTGACTTCGAACGGCCCTTCCCAGTTTGGGTCGAGGGTGCCCATATGATTTTGGATCCTCCTTAAGACCAGGTGTCCGACTTGGAAGGTTCGAGGTCGAACGCGGGCGTTATAATATCTGGACATTCTGCTTTAGTATTCCGTCAGGCGTAGCTGGGCCACTTCTCTTCTTTCTTCCAATAAGTCGAGGTTGAGAAGTAGCTCTTCCTCATTTACTGTGGGCTCGTAATGCGCCACTCTGTCAGATGTCATGCCAATCTCAACTGGAACAACGGCTTCGGAGACAAAGGCCAGTGAGAACGGGGTCTCACCCGTTGACTCTCTTTGGGTGGTTCGGTAAGACCACAGGACCTCCGGTAGCTCATTGGCCCACCTGCCTTTCCTGGAGTCCAGTCTCAGTTTGATGCCTCGTTTGATGATCTTATTTACTGCCTCCACCTGCCCGTTCGCTTGCAGATGTGCAGGGGACGAACTGAGGTGACTTATGCCCAGCTTTCTGCAAAAGTCCTTGAAATTTACGTTGTCGAATTGCTTTTCGTTGTCTGTCACGATGGCATGTGGTATACCGAAACGACATACAATGTTTACCCATACGAAGGACGTGACTCTGGACTCTGTAATATGGGAAAGTACTCCAGCCTCGGCCCACTTTGTGAAGTAGTCCACAGCAACAACGGCAAACTTGGTATGTCCTTTGCCCAAAAGGAAGGGACCGATGATGTCTATCCCCCACTGCACGAATGGCCACAGGGCCGAAATGGGGGTGAGCAGCTCGGGTGGTTGGTGGATTATGTTTCCGAACCGCTGGCAGTTGTCAAAAGTTCGTACAAACTCCTTGGCATCCTGATCGAGAGTAGGCCAGTAATATCCTTGCCGGACTACCTTGGCCGACAGCGACCTGGCGCCTGAATGATTACCACACAATCCCTCGTGGATCTCCTTGAGGACATACAGGCCTTCCTCTAGGGTTAGGCATTTCAGCAGAGGCAGGGAGAAATTGCGTCGGTACAACGCTCCATCTCGGATTATGAACGGAGCTGCTTTTCTCGCCATCTTTTTGTGCTCCTTGGGGTCTTGTGGTGAATTTCCTCTGATGAAGTCCGCGATTGGATCCATCCACGAGGGCTCCAGAGCGTCAATCTCCATCTGATCTGGCTCCAAGATCGAGGGATTATCCAGGATCTCGACGGGGACCGACCTGACTAGATCGGTCTCATACGCTGATGCTAACTTAGCCAAGGCGTCAGCATTAGAATTTTCTGCTCGAGGAACCCGGCTTACTTCGGAGGTTCTAAACTGGGTGAGGTACGATCTGACCTTGCTCAGATATTTCTCCATTCGGGAGTCTTTGGCTTCGTACTCCTCCTTAATCTGGCTCACAACCAGCTGGGAGTCGCTGAAGRCCTTAATACAAGAGGCCCCCAACGCCCTAGCAATTCGCAGACCGGCAATAAGTGCTTCATACTCGGCCTCGTTATTGGAAGTCCAGAAGCTGAATCGCAGGGCATACTCAAACCACTCGCCTCCTAGTGCGAGCAAGAGGACTCTGGCCCCGCACCCCTTCTCGCTGGAGGATCCGTCGACATAGATCGTCCACGAGGGGTCGGACTCGCTTGGCTCGGGAGGTGGCGTGAGCTCGGCTATGAAATCTGCCACTGCTTGTCCTTTCAACGTACTTCTGGGTTCGAACTGAACGTCGTACTCACTCAGCTCCATTGCCCACTTCATCAAGCGTCCAGAAGTTTCTGGCTTATGGAAGACGTTTTTCAAGGGCAAGTTAGTGAGCACCACCACAGTGTGGGCTTGGAAGTATGGTCTAAGCCGCCGGGCCAAGGTGACCAAAGCGAGAGCCAATTTTTCCATTTGAGGGTATCTGGTCTCGGCTTCGGTCATGGCCTTGCTTGTGTAATAGACCGGACTTTGCTGCGCTTCCTCTTGTTTGACTAGGGCCGAGCTGACGGCGCTGTCAGACACTGCCAGGTACAAGTGAAGCTTGTCTCCTGGCAATGGCTTGGCGAGCAAAGGTGCCGAGCAGAGATAACTCTTCAACTGCTGAAATGCTTGCTCGCGCTTTTCTGTCCATTCGAACGGCCCCTTCTTTCTTAGGATTTTGAAGAAAGGAAGGCACTTATCGGTTGACCTTGAAACAAACCGGTTCAGGGCTGCAATCCTGCCATTGAGGCACTGAAGTTGCTTCAGAGTCTTGGGTGCCTCCATNGCCAATTTTTCCATTCGGGGGTATCTGGTCTTGGCTTCGGTCATGGCCTTGCTTGTGTAATAGACCGGACTTTGCCGCGCTTCCTCTTATTTGACTGGGGCCGAGTTGACGGCGCTGTCGGACACTGCCAGGTACAAGTGAAGCTTGTCTCCTGGCAATGGCTTGGCGTGCAAAGGTGCCGAGCAGAGATAACTCTTCAACTGCTGAAATACTTGCTCGCACTCTGCTGTCCATTCGAACGGCCCCTTCTTTCTTAGGATTTTGAAGAAAGGGAGGCACTTATCGGTTGACCTTGAAACAAACCGGTTCAGGGCTGCAATCCTGCCATTGAGGCACTGAAGTTGCTTCAGAGTCTTGGGTGCCTCCATCTCGAGCACGACCTTTATCTTCTCGGGGTTGGCCTCGATTCCTCGGTTGTTCACCACGAAGCCAAGGAATTTTCCCGAGGAGACTCCAAAAGCACAGTTTGCAGGATTGAGCTTCATCTGATATTTCCGTAGAACTTCAAAGGCTTCGGCCAAGTCAAAAAGATGCGACTTTGACTGCTTGCTCTTGACAAGCATGTCGTCCACATACACTTCCATGTTCCGGCCGATCTGCTTGGCGAACATTTTATTCACCATTCTTTGGTATGTTGCTCCTGCGTTCTTTAGACCGAAGGGCATGACCTCGTAACAGTACAACCCTTGGTCTGTTATGAATGCAGTATGATCTTGATCTGGGACGTGCATCTTAATCTGATTGTATCCGGAGTAGGCATCCATGAAAGTCAGCAGTTCGTGCCCGGCCGTTGCGTCCACCAGCTGGTCAATCCTTGGCAGTGGGAAGCAATCTTTTGGGCATGCCTTGTTTAAATTTGTAAAGTCTACGCACATTCTCCATTTCCCGTTGGATTTTTTAACTAATACAACATTAGAGAGCCACTCGGGATACAAAATTTCTCTTATGTATTCAGCTTTCAATAGTTTGTTTACTTCCTCAACGATTACATCACTCCTCTCCTTATTTACAGGTCTTCTTTTCTGTTTATTGGTCGGAATGACGGGTCTATGTTGAGGAGATGCGCCATGATCTTCGGGTCAATGCCAGGCATGTTCTCATGAGACCTTGCGAAGACGTTCGAGTTGGACCTGAGGAAGTTGACCAGCTCCTCCCTGTCGGTGGCCCCCAACTGAGTTCCTATGCTGACCTGTTTCTCGGGACTAAGCAGGGGAACAAGCTCGAGCTCCTCAGTTGGTGCAGAGAACTCCCTTCTCGGTAGGTTGGCCTCAAATCCCAGTGACCCGCCTGTGCTGGCTTGGTCTTCTAGGGCGCATACTGATGACTCTTTGAGTGCGGAGGCATAGCACTCCCTTGAAGCGGTCTGTTCTCCTCGGACTGTGCCCACTCCATTAGGGGTTGGATACTTCAGAACTTGATGAAGTGTTGATGGAACGGCCCGAAATGAGTGGATGATGGGTCTCCCAAAGATGGCATTATAGGCCGATCTACTGTCAATCACTACGAACTCGGCCATCTGA